ATGTGTTGTATTCTCCTAGTGCTGGAGTTCTGCAGTTCTCATTGATCGGTAAACTTGGTCTTGGCTGGCTGTTCTTGCTGATCTTCTGGGGGAGGGGCCTGTTGCAGTGGTTCTCAAACGTCTTTGCTGGAGGTGGAATTGCCCCACCCTTGCCAGGGACCAGGCTAAGTAATCTGCTTGGGTTTGCTCTCCATAGCCTTAATTTCCTGCAAGCTTTCCCTCCAACCTTGGAGGATGAGTGTGAAAATGGTAGCCTCCCAATCTCTGCCCCAGAGGAGCTGAGAACTTGGGGCCCGCTCCTCAGTGAGCCCCCCAGAGAAAAGCAGTCAATCACTCCTGTCTCCCCGGTCTCAGGCCTCATTCTGTACAACCACCACTGAGCATTTCTATCTCTGGCGCATGACCCCATGTGGAGTCTCCAAACCCAGCAGATCCCTGAGGTGTGCTCCCACATTGCTCCTCCCAGGGAAGGAAGGGGAGTGTCCCCAGATCTGCTGCTTGTTGGGTCCCTGCTGGAGGAACAGAGGCCCGACTGTGCTGCAGATCACAGTTTATAGCAATCCCGAGCTGAGAGCCCGTGCCTCGGCTCCATCTCTGCAGCCGGCTTCCCGGTTCCAACACCTGGGAGCTCTGCCACAATCAGGCACCCCTGGTCTTTCCGTGACCCCCAGGGTCCTGAGACCACACTTCCCAGCGAGAGTTCCGCCCCCCCCCCCCCACTTAGCCACTGGAGCGACATCCCTCAGTGGAGCCAACTTCTAAAAGTTCTGATTTTGTGCTCCGCTGCTTTATCACTTGTGGGTAGTGGCTGACCGAGGCTCCCTCCCTCCGCCATCTATCTTCCTGAATATCACCTTGGATTCACTTCTCCGCACGTCCTACCTTCCAGAAAGTGGTGGCTTTTCTGTTCAGAGAGTTGCTGCTATTTTCTTCGATCTGTTGAGTTCATAGGTATTCAGAATTGTTTGATCCCTATCTAGCTGAATTCCTGGGGCCAGATGAAATTTAGGTCTCCTACTCCTCTGCCATCTTGCTCCTCCTCCTATTTTTTCCTAATTTTTATGGCAAAATACAGATAGTGTCAAATTTGCCATCTTAACCATTTTTAAGTGTACAGTTCACGTGATATTAAAATACATCCATCATGTTGTACAACCACCACCATCCGTCTCCAGACCTCTTTTCATCTTGTAAAACTGAAACTCTGTACCAAGTAAATAATAACTACCCATCCATCTCTTCTTTCAGTCTTTGGTCATCACCATTCTACTTTCTGTCTTTATGATTCTGACAACACCAATTACCTCAGGGGAGTGGAACTATACAATATTTGTTTTACTATGACTCACCTTTTTCACTTAGCAAAATGTCCTCAAGTTTCATTCATGTTGTAGCATGTGTCAGAATTCCCTTCCATTTTATTTCATTATATGTACATACCACGTTTTATTTATTCATTTACCTATCAATGGACACTTAGGTTGCTTCCATATTTTAACTATTGTGAATAATGTTACTATGAAAATAGATGCACAAATATCTCTTTGATATCTTATTTTCAATTATCTTGGATATATACCCAGAAGAAGAATTGCTAGATCACATAGTAATTATATGTTTAATTTTTAGAAGAACCACCATACTGTTTTCTGCAGGAGGTGTGTCATTTTGTATTCCCACCAACAGTGTGCAAAAGTTCCATTTTCTCTACATTGTTGCCAACACTTCTCCCTCCCTGGCTCTCCCCCTTCCTTCCTTCCTTCCTTCCTTCTTTTTTCCTTTTTTCCTTTCTTCCTTTGATAGTTGCCCTCCTAATGGGTTAAAGTGGCACTTCATTGTAGTTTTGATGTACATTTCCCTAATGATTAGTGATGTTGAGCCTCTCTTTAGGTGCTTATTGACAAAGCGGGTACTCAAGTCTTTGACAATTTTTATAAGGTTGTTTTTTTGTTGTTGAGTTTTAGGAGTTTATATATATTCTGGATAGTTACCTCTTATCAGATACTTGATTTGCAAATACTGTGTATTTTAGGGTTATATTTTTACTGTGTTACTGTGTGGTAGTGTTTTTTGATGAACAAACTTCTTTAACTTTCGTGAAGTCTAGTTTATTTTTCTTCCTTTTTTGTCTATGACTTTGGTGTCAGATCCAAGAAATCATTGCCAATTTAGTATCATGATACTTTTGCCCCTATGTTTTCTTCTAAGAGTTTTAGTTTTAAATTTTACATTTAGGCCTTTGACCCATTTTGAGGTAATTTTTTTTGTATACAGTGTTAGATAAGGGTCTAACTTGATTCTCTTGCATGTGGATATTCAATTTTCCCAGTATATTTATTGAAAAGAGTGTCTTTTCCACATTTAATGGTCTTGATACTCTTGTCAAAAATTATTTGATCATACATGTGAGGGTTTATTTCTGGGATCTCTATTCTAATCCATTGGCCTATATGTCCATCTTTATGCCAGTATCACATGTTTAGATAACTATAGCTTTGTGGTAAGCTTGAAAGGAAGTGCAATTCCTACAGCTTCATTCTTTTCAAAAATTGTTTTGGCTAGCTGGGGTCCCTTGCAATTCCATATGAATTTGAGGACAGGTTTTTCTATTTCTGCAAAAAACATCCTTGGGATTTTTATAGGGATTGTTTTGAATCTGTAGATAACTTTGGGTAGCATTGACATTTTAATGATATTAGAATTTCTAAACTAAGAACACATAATGTGTTTTCATTTACATTTATTTAAGTCTTTTTAAATTTCTTTCAGCAATGTTTTGTATTTTTTCTTTGTACATATCTTTTACCTCTTTGGTTAAGTTAATTCTCAAGTATTTTATCTTATTGATGCTATTATAAATGCAATTACTTTGCAATTTCCTTTTCAGATTGTTTATCATCAGTGTATAAAAATGCAACAGATTTTTGAGTGTTGACTTTATATCCTGCTACTTTGCTGAATTCATTTTTTGTTCTAACGGTTTTTTGGTGCAATATTTAGGGTTCTCTGCATCAAAATGATATCCTCTGTAAACAGAGAGAATACTTTTTCCTCTCCAAGTTAGATAACTTTTATTTCTTTTTATTGTCTAACTTCTCTAGCTAGAACTTCCAGTACAATACTTAATAAAGTGTTATATCAGATATTAGAGAAAAAGCATTCAGTCTTTCATTATTGTGTATGTTTGCTGTGAATTTTTCTTTTTTTTTTTAAGATTTTATTTATTTATTTGACAGAGAGAGAGCTAGCGAGAGCAGGAACACAAGCAGGGGGAGTGGGAGAGGTGGAATCAGGCTTCCCAACGAGCAGGGAGCCCAATGTAGGACTCGATCCCACGACCCTGGGATCATGACCTGAGCTGAAGGCAGACACTTAATGACTGAGCCACACTGAATTTTTCACATTTCACTTTTATTATGTTCAGGTGGTTTTCTTTCTATTCCTAGTTTGTTGAATGTTTTTATCATGAAAGGGAGATGGATTTTGTCAAATGCTTTTTCTGCATCAACTGAGATAATCATGTGTTTTCTTTCCCCTCTTTCTGTTAATGTGGTGTATTACATTGATTGATTTTCATATATTGAACCATCCTCGCATTCCAGGAATAAATCCCTCTTGGTCATGGTGTGTATAATTCTTTTAATATGCTGCTGAATTCTGTTTGCTAGTATTTGGTTGAGGATTTTCGCTTCAATGTTCATAAGAATTATTGATCTGCAGTTTTCTTTTCTTAAATTGCCTTTGTCTGGTTTTGGTATCAGAGTAATACTGACATCATAGAATGAATTAGAAAGTGCTCCTTTCTCTTCATTTTTTTTTTAAGTTAGAGAAGAATTGGTATTAGTTGTCTTGTAAATGTTTAGTAGAATTCACCAGTGAAGCCATCATGTCCAGGGCTTTTCTTTATCAGGAAATTTTTGATTACTGATTCTAGTACCTTACTAGTTATAGATTTATTGTTTTTTTTTTAATTTCTTCATGATTCTGTCTTGGTAGGGTTTGTGTTTCTAGGAATTTGTCCATTTCACCTAGTATATCTGATTTGTTGCTATGAAATTATTTATAGTACTCTTATAATCATTGTTCTTTCTGTAAAATCAATAGTAATGTCCTCACTTTCATTTCTTATCTTAGTAATTTCGGTCTTTTTTTTCTTAGTTCATTTAGATAGGGGTTTGTCAATTTTGTTGATTTTTCAAAGAACAAATTTTTTTTATTTTGTCTATTGTTTTTCTATTTTCAATTTCATTTACCTCTGTCCTAATCCTTATTATTTCCTTTCTTCTGCAACCTTTGAATTCAGTTTGTTTTTCTTTTTTCTAGTCCCGTAAGTTAGGTTGTTAATTTGAAGTCTTACTTAACTTAAGCATTAGAGCAAGAAATTTACTCTTTAACATTACATTTTTGTGTGTCCCATAAATTTAATTGTATTGTTTGTATTTTCTTCCTTTTGTAAGCATTTTCTAATTTCTCAGTGGTCTGAGAATAAAATAAAGTAATAAAAACAGGTCATTCCCACTTACCCTAGACTATATCTAAAGCCAAAGGCTGACATCAAGCTATGTTGTTAACAGAAATATTTATAAAGACAAAAACAGAAGCATACTACGATGCCTCGAATAAACAAGGAGTCATAGAACCATTTTTACAAATCACCTCTTTATTTGGTACTACAGTTTTTACATCTCAATATAATTAAGATTTGACCTGGCTGAGGGTTTTTCTTTTATTTTGCTTCATTTTGTCTTAAGAATAAGAGCAAGTGTCAAAAGAGAGGTGGAAAAAGAGAGCCTTTGCTCTCAGAAACATTCTTATTCCAGGGTTTCTTCACTTCCCCAGCTCTCACTCCAAGCCAGGTACCACTACTCCGGTTTCACACTCAACACTGGCAGTTTGAATCTGCACGGGCAACACATTCCAAATCCAGATTGACAAGACCATTAACCAATCACAGAGCCAGATTTCCTTTTCTCCAGTTCAGTCATGTCTGCCCTATAGAAGACAGTGATGAGAAGAAGGGGGCGGGCCAAGGGGAAAGGCGTTGGAAAGTACCACCTATCCAACCACCAAGCAACAGTAAAGTGATTCTTCAGCATTGGGATCTAGCTGTCAGCTTCTTTGTATTGTCAAGATGTCTCTTTCTAAGAAGCTAACTTTGGACAAACTGGATGTTAAAGGGAAGCGAGTCATCATGAGAGTAGATTTTAATGTTCCCATGAAGAAGAACCAGATTACAAATAACCAGAGAATCAAAGCTTCCATCCCAAGCATCAAGTACTGTCTAGATAATGGAGCCAGGTCAGTAGTTCTTATGAGTCATCTAGGTCGACCTGATGGTGTTCCCATGCCAGATAAATACTCATTAGAGCCTGTTGCTGCTGAGCTCAAATCCTTACTGGGCAAGGATGTTCTGTTTCTAAAGGACTGTGTGGGCCCAGAAGTGGAGAAAGCCTGTGCCAGCCCGGCTTCTGGTTCAGTTATCCTACTGGAGAACCTACGCTTTCATGTGGAGGAAGAAGGAAAAGGCCAAGATCCTTCTGGAAATAAGCTTAAAGCTGAACCAATTAAAATAGAAGCCTTCCGAGCATCACTCTCCAAACTGGGGGATGTCTATGTCAATGATGCTTTTGGCACTGCTCACCGGGCCCACAGTTCTATGGTGGGAGTGAATCTGCCCCAGAAAGCATCTGGATTCCTGATGAAAAAAGAGCTGGACTACTTTGCCAAAGCCTTGGAAAACCCAGAGAGACCCTTTCTGGCTATACTTGGTGGAGCCAAAGTGGCAGACAAAATCCAACTTATCCAAAATATGCTGGACAAAGTCAATGAGATGATAATTGGTGGTGGAATGGCTTTTACCTTCCTTAAGGTACTCAACAACATGGAGATTGGTGCATCCCTCTTTGATGAAGAAGGGGCCAAGATTGTTAAAGATATCATGGCTAAAGCCAGTAGGAATGGTGTGAACATTACCTTTCCTGTTGACTTTGTCACTGCTGACAAGTTTGAGGAGAATGCTAAAGTTGGCCAAGCCACTGTAACATCAGGCATACCTGCTGGCTGGATGGCTTTGGACTGTGGTCCTGAGACCAACAAGAAGAATGCTCAAGTTGTGGCCCAAGCTAAGCTAATTGTGTGGAATGGACCTGTAGGGGTATTTGAATGGGATGCCTTTGCTAAGGGAACAAAAGCCCTCATGGATGAAATTGTGAAAGCCACTTCCAGGGGCTGTATCACCATTATAGGAGGTGGAGACACTGCTACTTGCTGTGCCAAATGGAACACTGAAGATAAAGTCAGCCATGTGAGCACTGGAGGAGGTGCCAGTCTGGAACTCCTGGAAGGTAAAGTCCTTCCTGGAGTGGAAGCCCTCAGCAACCTGTAGTTGACTTTTCCTTTCCACTATTTCCTGTCCATAGGCTTTAATTCAACTTAGTGCTCTACACTGCAACTTGACTTTTGTTATAGTTTACCCCTATACCAAGGCCTAGGCAATGACTAGGGATTAGTTATCAGGAACTCTTATCAATACAACAATGCAACTCATTTTAGTTCTGTCATGCATTTGCCTGCTCTCTTCAAGATCTCAGTTAAACTTGTTGTGATTCATAGGAAGGAGATGCTCTTACATTGCATATTAAAGTGAGTTGAATAAGCTTAATCTCTCTCTTTTTTATTTTACTCCAGCTTTGTTATTGTTTTACTGCTTAAAACATGGAAACAAGACAAAACCCAAGTTGTTGGGGAAGGGTGGGGTAGAAGCTAACAAACATTTAAACAATAGAAGTGCTCAAATAAATCAAGAAAAATAATAATTTCATTTAAGAATTCATGGATAACAAAGCTCTGCTAAAAGGAAATTTCTTGCTAAATAAGGAAGAAGATAAATGAGAGGTATTTATCAAACTCAAGAAGTTAAAAAAAAGGAAAGAAATTAAACCCAAGAAAGGAATTATGTTGTGTGTGGATACACAAGAGTATATACATATGTGTCTGTTAGAATGGTAGCTACAAACTAAATCCAGGCTTTAAATAAAGAAGTAATTATTTTATTTTTAGAGCAGATATTGTTTAATAAATAGATAAAACAACTACTAAATCTTAAAACTGGATTTTTGAGATAAACAAAAATATGTATGTGAATAGTCATAAAAAAGAGATATAAAAACTCTTCCATATTTGAAAGCAGAATAAGAAAATACTCAGAAATGTAAAAGAAATTAAAACACTTGTTGGAAAATATTTTGCCTAGTTCTGTAGACAAAGAGCTGGCATAGAGCAATGCTGTTAAGAGCAAAAATGCACAACTAAAAAGCGAGTCTATTACTAAAAGGAAGTGGAGAGGTGATAAATATTGAGGGAATAGTAATGGCTTCTGCTAGACTGTCACTCTGGTCCGACCAGTACCCATGTACAAGTATCCATGTGTCCTTCCTACATAAAGAAAGCATCCTTTCTCCAACAGGTATAATAAAATGTCTTGTCCAGTTACTGCATCCCACTCAAAATTGGGTATCTCTGGGTGATGCACAATCTTTCCATGTGATCCAATGGGGAGCCCAACAGTCCAGTGAACAGAAAAGTGCAGTCATTTATTTCTCTCCTACCTCTGACACCCTTATGCACTCAATATACAGTGGTGGAAAAGAAATAGAAAAGCAGCAATTAAAAACCCTGACTTAAAAAAGTCATTAGTTCATTGCCGTTGTGAAATAAATGGTGCTGGCTCAGAATTTCAAAAGCCCCCTGACCTGACAGTGAAAGAACTTCTGTGGTTAGACTGGTTTTGTTCTCTGGGAGGAAGTTTCTTATTCATTGTCCTTTTTCGGTCCCATGTTTGGTCACCTGGGAAATTTTCCTTGTTTCCTCATCTTCCATGCCATCTGCCGAAGCAGATGTTGGGGAGTTGGGCCACATTAGGCCACTGCACAGCTTCCTTGCCTTCCTCTCTGCTGGGACAGTGTTAAGAAATCCAGGATTTCTTCATATACCACACAGTTGAAAACCTTTGAAGGCCAGGCTAGTGACTTTTCAACTTTCTGCAGAATCAAGATCTCTGTGTAAAAGAAGCTCACCCAAAAATGTCTTCTAGTGATGTTTCTTCATCCTCTGACTCTTGCTTTTAATTAATTGGTGGCTTTGCTGGGCTCACTTTCCTTTTCTTCATTTTAAGACCCGTGGCCCTCTAAAAAAGTAGGCAGGACTGGGAAAGCAACACCTATAACTTGATTATTTGCCTGTGGCCTCCTCATATTTTTGGCTGAGATGTCCAAATGGGAGGCCTTTGAGTAAAACTGTGATAATCTTTCTTTTGCTGTTTGCGAGATCAAGACAAGTTAGCTTTTCCAACCCTGAGAGAACTCACTTGCCCGGTATATTAGCCAATTTAGGTCACAGGCAACAAGGAGATTGTCCAATATTTCCTGGATATGCTCATTTTTTTGTTGTGGTCGTATTTTGCTTAAAACAGCATGTAACAACCCAAACATACTGATATTCTGCATCTTTCTAAACACTTTCCCTGTAGCTTTAGGCTCTGTAGGAATGTGTTCTGTCTACTACAGTACCATAGGCAGCAGTTTTACCAAATGCCACAGCAGAAAATGATCAGCACCTTCCAACCTTCCATGCTACTTTACCCACTTCCTTCCACATGACACCTAAGTGAATGCCGTGTTTTATGAGTTTCTTTTTTTTTTTTAAGGCAGCATCTCACTTACAGGTAGCAATTTCTACATTAGTTAGTCTCCAGACACAAGTTTTCCTGGTAGAATGCATTTGCCAAAGAATGGAAACATTTTTGTTAATCACAACTGGGATAAGAAGAGGTACTATAAACATCTTGTAGCTACTTAACAAGCTACAACACACAGTGCAACCTTCACAAAAAGAGCACGATCTAGCCCAAAATGTCAACATTGAAGTTTCTTCCTTTCTTATGTGACATTCCAGAGTCATTATGGGTAAGTAGCCACTTCTGGAGCTTATCTAAGGACTCAGACTAGCAAAATGGCTCTGTTAGCACCAGCACCTGACTTTCATCTCTACAAGCAGGAAGATCAATTCAATTGTTGACATTTTCCAGCCAACTGGGTAGAGAAAAGAATCTACAGCAAGCTTCATGTCTTTGAGAAAGAGAACTGTTGAGTTCCTATGGCCTGAACTTAGCAATGTGATCATATCTAGCTCATAACGAACAAGGGTAATGCATTCTTTGACTGGGTGATCACGGGTCCTGTTAAAACTATTACTAAAAAGACAATACAAGGTGAATTTAAGACAGCATCAAGCAGAAAGACCTATTAAAAATCTTACAAGACACCAAAAGATCTTGGAGATCATGTTTTTGTACATGATTTTTTTTAAGATTTTATTTATTTATTTATTTGAGAGAGTGAGAAAGAGAGAGCATAAGTGGGGTGAGGGGCAGAGGGAGAAGCAGGTTTTCTGCTGAACAGGGACCCCAATGTGGGGCTCAATCCTAGGACTCTGGGATCATGACCTGAGCTGAAGGCAGACACTTAACTGACTGAGCCACCCAGGCGCCCCTTTTGTACATGATTTAACCTAAGATAAAGAAGAACATTTAGAGAGTAAGTACATTTCATGGGGGAAAAAAATTATGAAAGAAATTAGAATGAGTTAAGAAGATAATAATATAATATTGAAAATAAGCTAACAAAAGGTAAAAAAAAAAAGAGGTGACAAACTCAAGTACTGCTAGTACAAAATATCAAAAGGTGTTAGAGCAGTTAAATAAAATAATTGAAACTGCAGGGAAAAGAATCAGTACCTTGAATTAGAAGATTGAGGGGGAAAAACTGAATTCAGTGAAGACCTAGAAGGTAAGATATCATTGTGTGTGTGTGAATACATATTCACATACTTACATATCACATACATACATATATGACATATGTATATGCACACAAAAATAATATTTTGGGGGCACCCAGGTGGCTCAGTCGGTTAAGCATCTGACTCTTGATTTCAGCTCAGGTCATGATCTCAGGGTTGTGAGATTGAGCCCTGCTTCAGGCTCCACACTGACTGAAGCCTGCTTGGGATTCTCTCTCTCCCTCTGCCCTCCCCCACTCGCATTCTCTCTTTCTCTCAAAAAAAAAAATATTTTGTATAGTTGTAATTGAAATTTTATTTTATTTTACTGTTTAAACTTATTTTTATTTTTTAAAGTTTGGGAAGTTTTAATATCAGTTTCAGGTATAAAATTTAGTGACTCAACACTTCCATACAGCACCCAGTGCTCATCAGAGCAAGTGCATTCTTTAATCCCCATCACCTATTTAACCCATTTTTATAGTCACATTTTGTAATTATACACATTAAAAATACTTAGTTTTCTACTTGTTAAAACCAATTTAAAGAAGACTTAAAATCAAGATATTACCACAAGATGGTGGGATTGTCTTGGGTTTTTGGTTCAAACTGAAAATGTGGGACTTAACTTGTTTCCTCCAAGGTTGCAATTTGAGTTATTTAACTCACATTTTTGGAGCTTACTATTCACTTATTTTCTGTGAATTTTTCATTAAAAAAACTTGTGTATAGGTGATTTCAAGCAACATCAGGTAATAAAGCTGTGAAGAAATTTTTTTTTTAAAGTGGGTGCTATATTTCATGGCTTTATGCTTCCGTTAACTTTGCTTTTAGTTAATTTCATATTGTTATTAGTTATTAGAAGTCTCCTAGTGATTGTCACAAAGCTTATGTTTCCTAACTCAATGTGTGTTAGTAATAAACCGAGAAAGATGGAGATGTCTGATAAAAAAGTAAGAGTGAAATAATTGGAAAATGATAAATTAGAAAAGCATATGATTATATATACAAAAGAGAATATTTTAGTTGGTATTTCCTTACCTTGGAGACCCCAAGATTCCTTTCTCTACTTTGTGGTCTGGAAGATTTCTCTAGACAGTAAACAGGGCAACTGTGGGGTCACCTTCTTTGTTCTCCCTTAAATGTTGTTTCACAGATTCTGCCCGGTTTTCAGTTGTTCATATGAGAAAATTTATCTACTCCCTGCTATTCTGTCTTCATTGGAAGTAAAGTCTGAATCAATTTTCAAAGTTTTACACTAATAATCTTTTTAAGATCCAGTTGAGCTGTAGATATGTTAACTTGTTTTTAAATTTGTCATCCTTTCTTTTCTAATATTGGTAAGAAAATATTTTTCTTCTTGATCAGAGTCACTTGTTTTTTTGTTTTTTTTGGGGGGGGAGGGGGTGTTAAAAATATACTTTATTTTGTAGAGCAGTTTTAGGTTTATAGCAAAATGGAACAGGAAGTGCAGAGTTTCCATGTACCCCTGTCTCCACACACACACAAACTCCCCCACTATCAATATCCAAAAACCAACAGGTACATTTGTTACAATCAATGAAACTACATTCAATGAACTTAAAATCAATGAACCTACACATTATTATTTTCAAAGTTTTATTACATTAGGGTTGATTCTTTTTTTTTTGCGATTTTATTTATTTGACAGAGAGAGACACAGCAAGAGAGGGAACACAAGCAGGGGGAGCGGGAGAGGGAGAAGCAGGCTCCCCGCGGAGCAGGGAGCCAGATGCGGAGCTCAATCCCAGGACCCCGGGATCACGACCTGAGCCAAACGCAGATGCCCAACGACTGAGCCAC